TAGAAATACAAAGAACTTGGCCAGGTGTGGCTCAAGCCTATAATCCCAGTGCTTCGGGAGGCTAAGGCAGGCAGATCACGAGGTCAGGAGATGGGGACCATCCTGGCTAATATGGTGAAACCTCGTCTCTACTAAAAATACAAAAAATTGGCCGGGGGTGGTGGCACATGCCTGTAGTCCCACCTATTTGGGGGGCTGAGGCAGGAGAATCACTTGAACCCAGGAAGCAGAAGTTGTGGTGAGCCGAGATCATGCCACTGCACTCCAGCCTGGGTGACAGAGCAAGACTCCATCTCAAAAATAAATAAATAAATACATACATACATACAAAGAACCTAGAACACCCAAAACAACTTTAAAAAAAGACTTATGTGAAAGCTATAGTAATCTAAACAGTATAGTACTGGCACAGAGACAGACATATATAAGGTCCAGAACCAGATGCAGACATACATAGACAACAGATTTTTTTTAAATGATGGCGTGAAGTCAACTCAGTGAAGAAAGGATAATCTTTTCCAATAAATGGTGCTGAACAATTGTATATCTATGTGCAAAAATCATTAACTTCAATCCAATTTTACACAATATACAAATAATAACTCAGAAATCTTCAAAACTGTTCAGAGACCTAAATAATAGCAACTAAAAATTATAAAACTCAAATGGGAGAAAATCTCTGCACCCTCGGGTTACAATCCAACAGCAGAAGCATGATACAAAGGCAAATACATACACTGGACTTTATAAAAATTAAAAGAGCTGGTCTTCAAAAGATACTGTAAGAAAATGAAAAGAGAAACCACAGACTAAAAGAAAATATTTGCAAAGCATATATCTGAAAAAAGACTTATTCCCAGACTTATTTAAATAAAGAACTATTTAGAATAAAGACTTATTTAGAATAAAGAATTCTAAAACTCAATAATAAGAAAACAACCCAATCTTAAAATTGGGCAAATAATTTAAGGAGAACTTCACCAATAAAAATATATGGATGGCAAATAAGCATATGAAAAGATGTTCAACATCATTAGTCATTACAGAAATACAAATTAAAACTATAATGAGGCCGGGCACAAGGGCCCATGTCTGTAATCCCAAACACTTTGGGAGGCCAAGGTGGAAGAAACACTTGAGCCCAGGATTTCGGGATCAGCCTGGGCAACATGGCAAAAAATTCCATCTCTACAAAAAAATATAAAAATTAGCCAGGCATGGTGGCACTTGCCTGTGGTCCCAGCTACTCAGGAAGCTGAGGTGGGAGAATTGCCTAAGCCCAGGGAGGTCAAGGCTGCAGTCAGCCATGATCGTGCCACTGCACTCCAGCTCAGGCAGCAGAGTGAGACCCTGTTTCAAAAACAAAACAAAAAACAAACCTACAATGAGATACTACTATGCACCTACTAAAATGACTAAAATTAAAAAGACTAACAATAATAAGTATTGGCAAGGATATGGAGAAACTGGAACTCTTATATAGTGCTGGTGGGAATATAAAATGAAATAATCACTCTGGGAAAAAACTTCATAGTTTCTCAAAAAGGTAAATACATACCTACCCCTCTGATCTATTCATTCCATTTCCAGTTACCCAAAGGAAATGAAAGTGTACGTCTGTACAAAAATTTATACATGAATGTTCACAGCAGCTTTACTTGTAATAGCCCAAAACTAGAAATAATCCAAGTGTTAATCAACAGGTGAATGCATAAACAAAACAGTGGCATATCTATACAATGGAATACTACTGAGCAATAAAAATAAATGAACTATTGATAAATGCAACAATATGGCTGAATTTCAAAATAATTATGTATAGTGAGACAGACCCCCTCCCATACATACTGTAGGATTCTACTTTATTAAAATTTTGAGAAATGCCAGATGTAGGTGATGGGGAGGAAGGCAGCAAATCACACTGCCACGTGTGTTCCTATGCAACAATTTTGCATGTTCTTCACATGTACCCCAAAACCTAAAATGCAATAAAATAAATAAATGGGAAAAAAAAAATTTAGGGAATTTAAACAAATCTATGTGATAGAAAGCAAATCAGTGATTGCTGGAGGATCACTTAGGGGTTGTGAGTGGGAGATGGGAAGGATTATAAAGGAGCAAGAGGAAACTTTTGGGATTGGCGGATATGTTAATTTTCTTGATTGTGATAATGGTTTCATAATAATATTCATATGTCAAAACTCATCAAATTGTACATATTAATTAGATGACAATTATATCTCAAACTATTATAAAGCAATAAAAAACAAAAATCTATGACTTCAAAGATTGTGGCCCAAGCTGCCCAAGGAATTGAATTTCCATCTTCTGAAAAGAAGGCAGCCACAGAACAGACACATTTTAGAGGCAAGATTGCAAATTTTTGCTCTAAAAATTCAGTTTTTAAAATGCAGAGTTTGAAATGACTGTAAATATGCAAGTGGATATATTAATTCAGGAAAGAAGTCTGGGATGATAATATAAATTTGGGAGTCTATAGCACATAAAAAGAATATTTAAAGTCAGTTATGCTTGAATGAAGCAAATAATGCTCAATAAAAATTAGTGGAATGGATCAACGTTCTAAGTACTTCATATTAACTTATTTCATCTTGACGAAAAACGCCATGAAGTAGAATTATGATCCCTACTTTATAGGTAAAGAAACTGAGGTATAAAGGTAAGTAAGTTGTCCAAGGTCACATAGCTAGGAGCTATATTTGAGGTTTGCAGTGAGAGCTAATAGCTATTAGAAACAAAGAAAGATAATGTGAAGTTATTAGTGATGCTGTCCCTAAGCTTAAAAAACCTTAGAGTCAGACATCTTCAGATTATCAAATAATAAACTAAAGTAGCCAAAGATTTAATAAACCTAGAAAAAATTCTCTAAATCCATAATTGAAATGTTAGCAGCTTCCATTAAATTTTATCATGTTAATATCAATGTGATTTACAAGTTAAAGAGATTAAAATCTGTGCTACCCAACTACTATATTTGTGTCATTTTAAGCTTGCAGAAAGAAAAGGCAGGATGTTTTAAACTGGTTACCTCAACTGAAGTAGAATCTAAAGAACACAGAAGTTTAATGAGGAAGAACTTTAACCGGGATCAAAATAGCTGTAGAAACTATATTATAGCCTATTGGAGGCAAAAAAAAAAAAAAAAAAAAAAAAAAGTTCTATATTGGCATTTAGGGAAATGAACTAGTAGATAAAATATCAGAAGTTCCTAGTTTGCGAAAATGTCATTTAAATTTCAAGGAAATATGTTCCTTGAATTTTAATTCTAACCTTTAAAAAAAAAAAAAAAGAAAGAAAACTTGGAAAGGTTAAAATACTACATCAAATGCTATAATAAAGGTATAAAATTGGTGACATAAAAGGCCATTCTTTGTTATTAAAAAAAATGCTGTGCTGATAATACCTCATTCAAGCATAATGGAATACTGATACAGGACTTTTTAGAGGTTTTTTGTTCATTAAATACTGTTATTCTGTCCACTGAAGTTCATTATAAACTATAATAATTGACAAATCTATTTATCTGATATAAAACCTTAACTTACTGAGGATCTTTAATACTGCCTTCGACAAATAAGTTCAATTTTAATCCAGTTATCTGCATCTTACTGCATTAAATAAAAAATAAATAGTTTATTAATTTTTTTTCAAAGCCTGTCATCTAGAAATGGGCAGGAGCAGACCAACATCAATCAACTTTTCAAGAAAGAAAGAAAAAAAATAAGATCAACGATCACATCACATCTCTTCCTATTAAAGGTTTGGGGAAGAAGAGTCTCTATAACCCAAGTTGAACAAAGTATTCAGTATATCACTAACAAATTGGACTTTCTAATTTTTTGTTTACAAAAGCTGAGTTATAGTTATCTTGATTATGTTTAAGGAAGTTGAAGGAACCAATTTATTTTCACTATTACCTGCTTAGAATCTATGAAGGAAACCTAAAGTTTTCCAAAAATTCATTAGGATCCCAAAAAAGTACTATAAAAACTCCAAGAATTTCACGAATTTTTGAAATGAGTGGTTGTCAATGAAACTGTGCACTGAAAAGTTCAATGAATACCAACATTTACCCACTGATGAAATTTATCACCAAGATCCTAGAATTTCATATTCAGATTATTCCATTTTGTTTCATTTCTACTACTTCAGATCACTATCAACTCTTGCCTAAATGATTCCTAAAGTCTTTTAGTCCACCCTTACATAGACCACCCATTTCACCACACAGCAGCCAGCCAATCTAAGTAAAAAAGTAAAGTTCAAACTTCTAATAGGTGCTTTAAAAGGTCCTTTATGATTTGAACTCTTCATGTTTTCCTGGCTTGATCCTTTACCCCTACTGTACCCAGTCACATCCAATATACAAATACCAAAAAGACAGGTTCTCCCATACACATGCTAGACTTCAGCCATATTCAGCTATCTATAGTCCCTCAAAAGCAACAGTCATCCTGAGAAACTCTGCATATGCTCCTTCCTCTGGATTGTTCTCCCCATCCCTATCTACCTTTTTTGCTAACTCAGACTCATCCTGAAGTCTCATTTTTAAATGCTGTGCCCTTTGCCACTGACTCAGTATTTAAAAAAAAAAAGAAGTGCCATATTCTATGTAATACCTTCTTTGTCCAACTCAATCCCACATAGCCTGATTTGATGACCCATAATACCCTGCACTTAGCATCCATGTAGCAATTTTCACTCCCAATCATTAATTATTTATCTAATTTTCTGTCCTAATCTAAGCTACCTGAGGGTAGGAGACAATGCCTTATTCACTATCATGTCCTCGGAATCTAGCTCAATGCTTGACCCATAATAGAAACTAAACAAATTCACTGAGTGAATGAATATATCATAAAGGTATTTCATTTATAGAGGGGATACAGTTTTGAAAATTTTCATTAAAGAAATAACATCAGAATTGATAATAGAATAAGTCAATTTTTAAAAAAAATTAAGAAAAAGAAATAACATACCTGTCTTTCCAACTCTTGTCCTGTTATGCCAGCCTCTACATGAGCTGTCAAATTGTTCTCATCAACCCAGAGAATTCGATTCTGTTGCAAAGGAAGAAAGAAACCTGATCTACATGAACTACTAATATTTTCTCAGGAAATATAACTTCCGAATTCACAGCAACAAGGGATAAAATAGTGATTAGGCAAGAAGGGTTCCCCCTAACCACCCACACTGGAAACCAACTACACTTATCCCTGACTATCCAACATGACAACATACAAAGGCAGTATATTATACAGTCTTAAAACACAGACTGTCGTTATTCAGATGTTAATTTAAACTCCTTCTCTTACCTTAGGCAAATTATTTAACTGTCTAAGCTTATTGTTTCCTCATTTGTAAAATGTAGACAGTAATAACACATAGCGTCGGCTACAAGAATTAAATGAGATACTCCATGTAAAAAAACAGCATGTACAAGTCCTGACATTGTGCAAATACTATCTGCACTACATTAACATAGCAATCATTACCTAATTTAAGAATATCAGAATATGACCTAAGATTAGAAAAAAAAAATCTGCAAAGACATCTGAATATAGGAGATGGCATCCCTGCTTTATTTTCAATTCAAAACAGGGCCAGAGACCCAATGTACAAAACAAAGCATATCCCTGCCTCAGGCTCAAAAGAAGGAACTAAATTTCATCTGGCTCAACTTACCAAATGTGTGACTGCCAATAAAAAATGTTATTTGGCATTCCTATTGGATCTAACTCATATACATAATATGAATTTTCATGAATTACTTTCTACTATTGAGAACAGACTTCTTTCCCCTTTCTATCTGGTGAGCAATCAAGTAACATACAGGACCCTCTTCTGGATCCCAGGGAAGCTTTCTTTCTACTTTCATATGTTCAATTTCATGGCAATAACTAATATAGATAAGTCCACTTAATAATAATTTAAAAAGAGCACAACAGACAATACAAAAATAGCAGTTGCTGCCTAAATTCCAAATCTGAACACATACAAATAACTGCACTCCTTAATTCATAAGGCTGTGAAAAACATTAAATAAGATGATGTATGTGAATGTATTTTTTGTTTAATGTTACATAAAACTCATTATAATTATACTCTCACTATAAGATAAAAGTAATTTTTTTCCTTTATTATTATTATTATTTTTTTTTTTTTTTGAGACAGAGTCTTGCTCTGTCACCTAGGCTAGAGTGCAGTGGCGTGATCTTGGCTCACTGCAACCTCTGCCTCCTGGGTTCAAGTAATTCTCCTGCCTCAACCACCTGAGTAGCTGGGATTATAGGCACGTGCCACCACGCCCAGCTAATTTTTGTCTTTTTAGTAGGGACAGGTTTTCACCATGTTGGCCAGGCTGGTCTAGAACCCCTGGCCTCAGATAATCTACCTGCCTCGGCTTCCCAAAGTGCTGGGATTACAGGCATGAGCCACCATGCCTGGCCAACAATAGTACCTTCAATACAACTATGGTATAATCAGGCTTTTGGTCCTTTGGCAGCTAAATAAAATACAATATTATTAAATTGCAGAATGAAAAGACAAAGAATGTATTAATCTGATGGTACTATATATATGTCTTCTCCACCAACAGACTGGCTCTTGAGGCAATTACATACTCATTCTAAATATATACCTTGTAACTACCAAGAGTTCAAACATATCTTTTGGTAGAAAAAGGAAATTAGAAGTGTCAGAAAAAAACTTCATTCACAGAAAAACCTAAAGAAAACATATAGGCTACCCTATTACATCCCATATATATTACCCAATCCATGTTAACATTCCAGAATAAGCTATTCTTCAGCTATCTTCTGAGGACATAAATTGCCTTTTCTTAAAATCTGGGATAAGGAGACAGGTTGATAGGGAACTTTGCAATAAAATAAGTGTTCACCATCTCAACTTTATCAATGTTAGCATCATTAAAAGTGGGACTATCAGCTATTACACACCTCTAGTGATGTTATGTGACATTTTTTTAAAAGCACATTATAATCTATGAGGTGTTCTTGCTGTTAAAAAAAAAAAAAAAAAAAAAAAAAGGCAATGCCTGAATCTAACTAGACTTTACGTGGAACTTCGAATTTAGTGGACATACAGGGCTTAGACAAAGAGTTAAATGACAAGAAGCAGTAACAAATTCAAAATATGACATTCTATACTACAAATAGCCTTATTTCTTTAAAAGTCTGGAACATGCAAAAGAAAAAAAAAAAACAGAGAGTAAGAGGAGGCTTTTACATAAAGTGAGACTTAAGAGCTACAATAGAAAGCTAATATGAGCCTTATCTGGATCCCCATTTGAACAAATGATCTATAAAACAGACTTTTTTAATATTGAAAATTGAATGAAGACTAACTACTAAATAACATAAAGAATTACTTTTGTTTTTGCCAGGAGTGATAATAATAAAGTAGTTATGTGAGAAATGTCCTTTTTAAAAGAGATTATACAGAAATATTTAGGTGTAAAGCAGCATTGTATTAGAATTTGCTCTAAAACTACTAGGAAAAAAACACAGATAAAGCAAGTATGATAAAACGTTAATAACTATTTAATCTAGAAAATGGATATACTATTCTCTTTACTTAGGTGTTTGAAAAAAAATTTAAATTTGGTAAAATAGCATCAAGATATATACCTGAGGGTAAAAGGAAACCTACCTTTTAGAGAACTGAATACAAGGGTAAAATGTAATGATGAAACCCATTTAAAACAAAATAGATATTAGATTCTTTTATTTTATTTCTATTTTTGTCACCCAGGCTGGAGTAGAGTGGTGTGATCTTGGCTCACTCCAACCTCCGCCTCTCAGGTTCAAGAGAGTCTCATGTCTCAGCCTCGGAGTAGCTGGGATTACAGGCACACGCCACCACACCCAGCTAATTTTTGTATTTCTAGTTGAGATGAGGTTTTGCTACATTGGCCAGGCTGACCTCGAACTCCTGACCTCAAGTGATCTGTCCACCTTAGCCTCCCAAAGTGCTGGGATTACAAGTGTGATCCACAGCGCCCAGGGGCTAGATTCTTTTTTAATGACAATTAAAGTGGAGCCGATAAAGACAATGTTTTAAATAAATCTCAAATTATTAAATACCATTTGTGAAGTGTCCAAAGAAATAATTGTTCTTGTCTCATCTGCAGGACACATCAGGCCATATGAAACACTTGTTCCTCCTGCCAAAATAGGAAACAACAACTTTATGTTTAAATATTCTGTTTTTAGCTATATTTCTAGGGGAAATCCCTCATCTCAAGTATACAGATAGGCCCGCTGGAAAAGTGATACCTATTACTACTTTGCAAAATACAATTTGCAAATGCTAACACACTAAAAACAAACTCACCTTTATTTTATGCTGTGTGCCAAAATAAAGCAATATTAAGAAACTGAAAGCAATGGGCTTATGTCTCCATCCCTTGGACATGCCACACTCAAGTGAAGCCCCTAGCAATTTGGGGAACTCCAAAAACATGATTAGAAAAGTTCTAAGCTGATAATTACTGTGGAGAGGTAGCTTAAAAGAAAAAAGACCCATCCTATACAACTAGAGACATGGTTACTTCCTTTCTACCACAATTACGACATTCATTTATCATTTTCATAGAAACAAGCTTAAAATGTCTAGATTATGAGATATTTAAAAACAAATTTAGATGTTCTTTGGTGAAAAAGTGATTTTAATATAGAATAATACATAGAAGTACTTAAATATATGTTAACATTTATTGTCAAAGGAAAAATGCTTTCTTGATATCATTAAAGAATAATACAACATTCTCTGTTCTTAACCAGATCTAAATCACCATATATCAGAATAAATTCTTGACCGATCCTACCCTATGTTCTGTATGAAAGAAAACATGTGGAAGTTACCTTCCACAAGAAGTATAGGGGCTGTTAATCTGTAAGGTTCAGCTTAATTTTACAAAGTGAGATCATGAACTGTCAGTTAATAACATGATGCCTGTGATCAGTAACCACTATTTGCTTGCCACAGTCATTTGGAATTAGAAAAATATTTCATAATAAATGGCATTTTAGTGCCTTTTTTACATGCATTCAACAAAAAGCATCAGCTGAAGAGGGAATATGGAGCTTCTGGAATTGTTGGGAGTCTCATTACCATTCCTATGCCAATCTCAAAGGTTTATATAGGACATATTTATATTTAGCTTTTGAAAAAGAAAATTCTCTCCATAAATAAACAGATCAAAAAGTAATTACTAAAGCAGAAACATTTTCTTATTAGGCATTAAATCACAGCTTCAACTAGGACCCACAGAGGGAAAAGCCATGAATGAAGGTATACCGTGTCTCAAACAGTTTAAGGAATCCTACTTAGAACACAAATGAGTATCATAAGTCAATTTTTGAGAATAACCACATCATAATTACAATAATTTTGTTTTCGGTAGGGTGATGCAAATACTTAAAATACAAACATTTTAAATGTAACAAATTTACATATTAAAATTTAAAAAGCACAATACCTACCACCAATTGGTATGATACAAAGGTTATATTTGCATGCTAGATTCACAATCTTAACTACATCATCATGGCATGCTGTTGAAAAAAAGGGAAAATAAATTAATTACAGGGGCATGAATAAAATCTGATAACCTTGCCAAATAAGAACCTGTGAAATTCTTTTTCTAAACTTTTCCTTCATTTATTCACTCATTAACACAATTAGTTAACTGAGTATTAAAACATTTTACCCTTTTAACTTTTCATTTTGAAATAATTTGACTTACAAAAAAGTTATAAAAATAGTACAAAAGTTTTCCTTCATCTCACATCCCCAAATATTAACATCTTATACAGCTACAGTCCAATTATCAAAACTAAGCAATCAACACTGATATAATACAATAAACTAATCTACAGACCTTATTCAAATACTTCCAATTGTCCCACTAATGTCTTCTTTTCTGGACCAGAATCAAACCAAAATTTACAACCTACATTTAGTTGCCTTGTGTCTTCTTTAAAAACAGTCATCATAACCATGACAGTTTTGAAGAACAATGGTCAGCTATTTCACAGAATATCCCTCAATTTGGGTTTGTAGATGTTTCCTCATAATTAAGTTCAGGTTATATATTTTAGGAATACTTCCACAGAAGTGATGTTGTATCTTTCTCAGTGCATTACATCTAGAGGTACACAATATTTACATGTCTCACTTCCAGTAATGTTAACTTATAAATACATCATTTGGTTAGACTGTGTCACTAGGTTTCTCCACTATAAGGATACTGTGTTTCTTGTTGAAATTAATAGGTATTAATTGTTCAAATTAATACCTTATTGAAATTTCTTCAAATTGAAATGGTTCAAATTTCTTGTTGAAATTCACAGGTATTAATCTGAAATTCACAGGTATTAATATAAACAATTCTGGAATTGTTGGAAGTCTCATTACCATTCCTATGCCAATCTCAAAAGGTTTATATAGGGTATATTCATATTCCGCTTTTGAAAAAGAAAATTCTCTCCAATAAATATACAGGTTAAAAAGTAATTTCTAAAGCAGAATAGGTATTGTTTAAATTAGTTAAATTAATATCTAGTAATATCAACAAGAAACACAGTAACCTTATAGTGGGAAAACTTGGTGACATGGTATTTACATATCTTAGACTACATAAAATACCCTGTTTCTCATCATACTTTCACCTACTAATTTTAGCACCATTGATGATTTATTGTTTAAACAAATGTTTACAATATTGTACAAAATAAACTGCACACAAATTCCTTTCCTCTGTACAGAGCTAAAGGGTTCTCTTTATCCTTGTAAAAATTGTATAAGTAACAAAAACCTGACTGGAAGATTTTAAATGCCAAGCAAGAGGTGCTAAGACTCAACCTGACTGGCAATAGGACATTAGTGGAGATTCTTAAGGACGGGAACAAGATGGCAAAGAGATTGTTTTAGGAAAATCAACCTCCTGATAGAGAGATGGCAAGGAGGAATAAGACGGGAGACAAGAAAACTATGCAAAACTCCAGTATTAGCTGCTGAGAGCCTAGGGACTTAGTAGGTAATAAGAATGCTGAGGAAAACAAATGAATATCCATTTATAAAAGCAAAAATACTGTTCTATAAAAGTTACAATTATCTTGTCCAAGGTTTGTGTAAAGCTAAGAAAATATGTCATTTGTATCATTCCAATTTTTAACAAATATATATTTTTAAGCTTTTGTATTAAGCTTATAAAGCTTGCTATCTGTGGTAAATTTACTAAATAGAATACTCATTAATTAATAATTCATAAAACACCCAAAGATGTCTATTAAAAAATCTTCAACAAGGCAAAATTACCTTCTAGGAATGTCACCTAATCAAAAACCTTCCTTAACTATGTTATCTGAAACTGCACCCCCATCCCACTACCATCCTTGTTCACACTACCCTCTTAGATGCTCTGCTTTTCTTTACAGCACTGAACACTATCCAATGTTACATATTTATTTGTGGATTATCTGTTTCCACTCAGTAAACTGTATGGCACTTAAGAACAGGGATTTTTGTTTTATTCACTGCTTATCCTCAAGTACCTAGCCTGTATTTTCACAGTCCTAAAGTTCTGCTATTTAAGCCATTGAAAATAATGCATAAATACTAAATTTAGTAAGTGGAGTAATTGCCCTTACTCTTAAACAAGCTCTAAGCATCCTAAGCAACACACAGAATTCTGATTCAGATCAGAGCCAGTCTTGAAGACAACTACAATAGATTTCCTAGTATATATATATATATATATATATATATATATATACATATATAAAATATATATATATAAAATAAAAAAAAATAAAAAAAAAATTTATATATATATATACTACAAGATGAGACACCCACATCTACTCTAGGGAATACCACATTGCCTCAAATTTCTTCATTGTCTCAAAACTCACCCTTCTGCAAAGAAAAACTTGAATTTCATCACCAGTAGGAAATTTACATTAAAATTAAATAAAGACTTCAGTGACTTAATACCTTGTTGGGAAACTATTTCCAAGAAGTCATTATACTAGAATATTCAACAGAATAAAATTATAAACTTGATTCAGCCAGGAATACACCATTCATACTGATTCCTGAAGTATGGAAGAAGTTGGCAAAAGGATTACTGAATTAATCTCCCAAGTGTGTATGGCAGGCTTAAAGAAGCAAGAAACATGAGGCATGAAAACCCTTACAGTTTCACAAAAACCTAGATATACACTGAAAAGGAACTGACTTGGAAATTGGGATGGAAAAAAGTGGAAGAGCAAAGGTGCTAGGGAACTAGTAAAATGGGAAAGATTTTATAAAGCAAAGAAACTTTTGTGAAATATTGACTGTTTACTACATCTGGGCTTTTGAGAATATTTGGATTTCTTAAAATAAAAGATACTTCCACTGTGCTATTCTGTTTTTGTTTTTGTTTAAGAGATGAGGGACTCACTAGTCCAGGCTAGACTCGAACTCTGGGCAAGTGATCCACCTGCATCATCATTCTGAGTAACAGGGACTATAGGCATACACTGCCAAGCCCAGCTCTTTCAGTATTTTAATATTGAAAGACATGAAGAAAATATCTAGAAGGTATACGTAAAAGTTCTTATCAAGATAAATCAAAGGATGGTCTATTAGGTTTCTTGTGGGAGGTAAAAATTGATAAATTTTGCTTTCATGTTTTCCAGTAACAAATGGAATAAACCTCTAAATCTCGTCAGCGAAGTAACCTTAAGCTACTAAAAAAACAAGCAGGCAAAACAAAAATATTTCTTCTATTGGAGAGTATCTTTTCCTCAGGAATAGTTAAATTTCTGTACTAAACTAATAGAGACAAAAGACTTATTTCATAAATATTCCAAATGCATAGAAGAATATACAAGTATCAGGAAAGTAGTTTCATCTCTGCTACATATGCTCTTGGATTTTCCTCCTGTGTATCTCACCTGCCTCTTGCCCCCACATTGAAGCATAATTTTTCCCTAAGGTAGTCCCTCCAAAGTAGAAGGACCTCATTTAAGAACTGAGAGTCCATGAATGAGTCAATTTATTAAAAAATAGAATATACACCCTGAAAAGGAAGATGTGAAGAGAAAAATAATCAAAAATCAATAGAACTCTTTTAAAAATGCAATAATGGACAGCAAGGAACAATACACCTGTTCTGCTTTAAATTATCTGCTAAAAGAGATGGGTAAAAAAAACCCTCAGATTTATAAATATGTTACCTACTCCTCCCTAAGAGCAAAATTACAACAGAAAGCTCATCCATCCTCTATCCCACACCAAATCCTAATAATTACTCAAAATTTAATTATTCATTTCAAACACAGTATGTATATACATAATACATAAAATTTGTTTCATCATTTCACCAGGCTTTTTAAAGTTTACAAGCTGATATCAACAAATTATTACTAATATTAGTTTGCAGTATTCAATTATATTAATAATTCTATATATCTGAATGTATCACTGACACTAATTTCATGAAACTTCCAAATAAACCAAAAATACATTTTTCTACTGACTTCTCAATATGATTATTTACATTTAAAATGATGATTTAATTATCAATAACAAAATGAATTGTTAAAACCAATAGTTCAGAACAACCAGGTCAAAAACGAGCTTCAAGGCAATTGTAAACCCTTAAAAACATAACAATTTATATTTTTTTACAACTCATATGCCAAAAAGTACATATTTCCAATACTAAATTTACTTAAAATTTAGCAATACTAAATTAACGATACAAAGAAAGGAAAACTTACTTGGCCATAAAACTATATCAGGAATTCGTTCAAACATTCCTTCCCTGAGCAAAAATATCTCATGAAGACAATGACCTGTTTTGTGGTTTTAAAAAGAAAAACACAAAAGCATCTTAAATTATAGAAAATTTTTGTTAAAAATAAATAGGGCTAATATAAAGTAACTTACCATGAGCTCTAAATACTCGATCATCTGCCTCTTGTGAATATGAAATATTAGTTTCTCTAAGGTCATGAAGAAAATCTTCATTTACAACAGAAGGAGGTGTATCACTAGGATTTAAGGATGCCTAGAAAGTAAAATTGGTTTCTTTGACTTATTTTTAGAAAAATGAATTTTGGGTACTTCTGTTAGAGAGAATGACTACAAAATGTAGACTTCTTTAAAACATTCCTAAGGTAAGGCTGAAGCATAGGAAAATACTAAATAGCATACACAGAAATCAGCTTTATGAGAGTAACAAATTACAAATTCTCTGACTAATCGCATTCATTTCCAAAGATTGCACTCAATGGGGAAGATAGCAAAGTATCAAATATTCCATTTCAGATTATGGAGACTAGGAGAAAGTTACTTGACTTTTGCACTATCTACACTTACACCTGTCAATAAAATTCAGCATTTCTTATTCTTCAACTGCACTTTTAAAAAGATGAACAGAAAGCCTCAAAATAAGTAATAAATCCATTTTTATAGAGCTGCTTTAAAACTTACAACATAATTATAAACTTGATATTCAATTTCACCTAACAAGTAACTTGAAATCTAATCTTCGACTTCAAAGTTAAAACTATGAGACACTGGGCATGTCACCCAACTTCTGTGAGCCTTGGCTTCTTTGTCTGTTAAATTAGATTATTAGCACCAAATGTATAGGGCTATTATAAGGAAGGCAGGTTAAATGTGATAATTTTTTTGAAAAGCACCTAATAGCACACCTAGAATACAGGAAGAGGTCTATAAATGGCTAGCCAAGTAAAATCTGCTACTAGGGGAGGGAGGTGGTAGGGAAGCTATCATACTGTACTTGGAAAAAAGGAAGTATAAGAATATACAAAGAAAAAATGATACTTCCATATACTCTTAATCTCTTATTAAGGTACTACATAATAAATACTTATTGAGTACCTGCCATAAACTAGACACTCTTCAAGGCCTTAGAGTGAGTTAAACAGAAAAAAATATTTGACCTCATGAAACTTATCCCATAGAAGAAGGAAATAACTAAAAGAACTCCAACAAAATATATTAAAGTTTTAAGTTATTAAGAATTGAAAAGGACTCAAAAACTGGTGAAATTTCTAACTATGGTATGGGGATTGTATCAATGTCAAAAACAAATAATTGCAAATAGTTGAGAGAGCGGGAGAGAAAATTTAAGAGATAAAAAAAGAGACCTCTAGGAAAGGTAAAAAGATGACCACGGGGGGTAAAATTAGTTGTTCAGGCTAACTTATTAACTAAAATAAAATAACTGTAAATGTTAAAATAAACCCAGAGAGTACTCACTGAATACCTATACCACTTAATAACATGTTGTATACAGTGGAGAATATTGTATAAGACATAGCCCCTGTACTTAGAGAACTTATATCCAGTTACAGAGACATGCAGAATACTATGCTACAGCAAAATAATACCACAACAAAAATAAATAAAAACACAACAAAAATAATAAATACATAATATATAATATTTAAAACACAACAAAAATAAATGCTAAATATTTCATTAGTTTCATATACATACAAAGTTTCCTAATTCCACTTTCAGAAAAGTGAAACTATATGAACAAACTAAAATCCTCAATTGCTTATATCTTAATCGAATTTTTACTTTTTATAATTCTTCAAATATTTTAAAAGTCCTAATATTAAATGTGACTTTACATTTTTATTCTAAATTATTCTCTATTAACACTAGATTATGGTCAGCCTATTAAATAATCTAAAAATAACAGCAACTTATATTTCTGTAACAAAACACTCTTAAGGAAGTAAATAATTTGTACTTTACTACTACCTTGTGAGAGGCAGAATAGTTATTACTCCCAATTCTAAAAATAACCAAGGCTCAGAAAGGAAAAAAATTTGCCAGATAAATCTTAGATAAATTCTGAGACTAGAGTCTACATCTGTGACACTGAATAACTGCCCCTAACAACCTAATAAGGCCAATGTAATTAATAGGCTTTATAACAAAAAACGTGACAGTTGCATTAAATCCAATATAACAAATTACAAAAATAAATCAAACTAATTTGGGTTTTAAAAACACAGTTAAATGTGTTAGTAATAATTTTTGTTTACTTACTTTAGAGGTAGTTTTATGCTCCACATTTACTCCAAGGGTATTTTGGATCCATTCTTTAAAAGTTGGTAAACCCATGCCACTAAGAGGGTACCTAAGGTACAAAGAAAGTAAAAATATTAGAGCAAAGTATCTTCATTTACATTTAAAGCTTAAATTCTGCTTCTAGTGATGGTCAAGCAGCTCTTATCAAACCAACCCTTTCACATGTTTTGTTCACATAAACTCTGAACAAAAACAAAACAAACAAAACCCAGCTATCTGAAGGCAGACCAAAAGCAGTCAAAACGGGAGAAGAGTGATACTTGAAAAAAGGAAAAAATACTATATAAGTTCATAAGTTCCCAGTTTTGTTTTGTTTTTTACTTAAGTTTTACCCTTGTGGCAGGCCCTAGCTGGTGCCCCAGAAGGTAATAAAAATGTTGAAAATTTACCATCTTCCTGGCTTAAAGAACCAGAGTGCAGTGTTTGGGGTAAATGCTGCATCTGGAAAGCATACCAGGAAATCACAGAAAGAAGAGAGTCAAAGAGGAACCTATGTATCAGCTCTCTCCAAATGCCTGGCTGACTCTGAATGACATGTACAGAATATATATTGGAATTTTCTAGGCAGCCCAGTTAAGCTTAAAAAAACTAAACAGACAATACAGCTGCTTACCATGAGGGGACAGAATTTAGAGTTTGAGATCAATCAAGTTAATTGCTTACAGGTCTCTTCAGAAGAATAAAACAGAATCCAGACTTCCTATATCATATCATGTACAATGTCCAAAATACATTTCCAATATTACTAGACAAGAACAAACTGCTAAGTATGACTCATAATTAAGAAAAATGACAATTAATGATGACTGACCCCAAAATGACCCAAGATACTGGAAGTAGTACAGTTTTAAAGCAGTTATTGTAACTATGCCAATGGACAAAATAGAAAGTGTGCTCTCAGTGAGTATTAAAAAAAAAAAATCTTAGCAGAGAAATAAAAAACTATATAAAAAAAGAACACAATAGAAATTCTATAACTGAAACTCTGAGACATTCTATTGGCATTTCATTACAAATTTAATTTGAATTTTACTGAGTACTTATGAGACTGAGCATCTATTCATATATCTATTGTCCATTTGGATATCCTCTGTTTTGAAAGTCAGTTCAAATCTTTTGCTCATTTTGCTCCTGGGTTATTGTTTTCTCAATAACATGTAAGAATTCTTTATATATTTATAAAATAAAAGATATACGTATTAGACATTTTCTCTTACTCTGTGATTTATCCTTTCACTCTCTTAAAAAGGAGTCCTATAGTTTGGATCCCAGACCCTCCAGACCTCAGTTGAAATTTGATCCCCTAATGGGAAGTGTTTGGGTCATGCAGGTAGATCTTTATGAATAGATTAATGCCCTGGGGGGAGGGGAAGAAGCGTGAGTGAGTTCTGTTAGTTCCCACAAGAACTGTTTGTTTTAAAAGAGCCTAGCACCTCCCTATAATCTCTCTCTCTCTTGCTTCCACTCTAGCCATATGATCTCAGCACATACCAGCTCTCCTTCCCCTTCTGCATGAGTGGAAGCAGCTTGAGGTCCTCACCAGAAGCAGACCCTGATGCCATGCTTCTTGCACAGCCTGTAAAACCATCAGCCAAATAAACCTCTATTCTTTATTAATTACGCAGTCTCAGGTATTCCCATAAAATAAAAAGTTGACCACCTTCAAGGTAATTGAAACTACAGATACATAGTTAGTGTTACTATCATGTATAAAATTCAAAACTACCTTCTATCACTAAAATAAAGTCTTTATATATAAAATAAAGTCTTTATATCTGAATGCACAATATTTGAGACCTTGAAGAAATATCTTGTTTGGTAGAACTTTGAACTGAAGACTTTGCTTCACTATATATAATTCCAGGATTTATGATTTTGCCTCATTATCTACAATTCCAGCAAAAAACTTCACTCAAAAAAAATTCCATGTTTCAAACGTAAGCTTTTAAATTTTACTTTTTCTTGCATCTAATATCTCAGTATTTACAAAACAATAAAGAAAGCCTGATGTATAATCATAAAGCCTAGCATACTGCCAAGGGTTCCAAAAAGTCCCATATAAAATATCATAAAGTAAAACTGGAAATGTTGGAGTCAAAAAGTAAATGATGAAAAAGAAACACAAGAAAAGTTAAAGGAATCAGTTATTTAATCTAAGAAACAGCTGTAGAATGACTTGACTATTACAGTAAAATAATTTGGATTTATTCAACACTCATAAGACTGTACTTAGCATTGCAGAATACATGGAATTGGTATTATGACTCCTATTCTTAAGAAGCAAACAACCTAGCTTAGTCAAAGCTGCAGCAACATTTAATTTGTGGGATGAACACATGGGCAGAGAACATGAAACTTTAACCAGCGATGTGATAAAGGGAAAGCTAAGCACCTATACCAATTGTTGAATCACAGTGACTACTGAATGAATCTTTCCCTTTCCCATGACTGAAGATTAGTGTGAGAACATTAAATGGCTTTTGTTGTAAAATATAAGGTGAGATCAATTTATCACTTTCCCACAGGACTGAAATAGGCTATACTGTAGAAGATACAGAACCAGAACAAGTTTCCAAGGCCAATGAAATCATTCTACATGGAAAGAAAAAAATTCTGTAGACAAAAGTTACCCAAGAGGAAAGTGCACATCAGGACTGACAATGACTAAAGAAAAAGTGACTCTCACTCTGGGGCAGCACATAAGGAGCAACAAAAATATTAGTATATACAATCATCTAGCCTCAGGGTGAGTTCCACAATTGCTAAGCAATTTAACAGCCTTTTCATATCAGATAAAGCTTCAATAAAAAATTATGCCACTGTCTGCCCGTGGACACCGCCGAAGAAGCATCGTTAAAGTCTCTCTTCTCCCTGCGACCATGTCTAAGTCAGAGCCTCCTAAAGAGCTGGAACAGCTGAGGAAGCTCTTCATTGGAGAGTTGAGCTTTGAAACAACCAATGAGAGCCTGAGGAGCCATTTTGAGCAATGGGGAATGCTCACAGACTGTGTGGTAATGAGAGATCCAAACACCAAGCGCTCCAGGGGCTTTGGGTTTGTCACGTATGCAACTGTGGAGGAAGTGGATGCAGCCATGAATGCAAGGCCACACAAAGTGGATGGAAGAGTTGTGGAACCAAAGAGAGCTGTCTCAAGAGAAGTTTCTCAAAGACCAGGTGCCCACTTAACTGTGAAAAAAATATTCGTTGGTGGCATTAAAGAAGACACTGAAGAACATCACCTAAGAGATTATTTTGAACAGTATGGAAAAATTGAAGTGACTGAAATCATGACTGACAGAGGCAGTGGCAAGAAAAGGGGCTTTGCCTTTGTAACCTTTGATGACCATGACTCCGTGGATAAGATTGTCATTCAGAAATACCATACTGTGAATGGCCACAACCGTGAAGTTAGGAAAGCCCTGTCAAAGCAAGAGATGGCTAGTGCTTCATCCAGCCAAAGAGGTCGAAGTGGTTCTGGAAACTTTGGTGGTGGTCGTGGAGGTGGTTTCGGTGGGAATGACAACTTTGGTCGTGGAGGAAACTTCAGTGGTCGTGGTGGCTTTGGTGGCAGCCGTGGTGGTGGTGGATATGGTGGCAGTGGGGATGGCTATAATGTATTTGGTAATGATGGAGGCAATTTTGGAGGTGGTGGAAGCTACAATGATTTTGGCGGTTACAACAATCAGTCTTCAAATTTTGGACCCATGAAGGGAGGAAACTTTGGAGGCAGAGGCTCTGGCCCCTATGGTGGTGGCGGCCAATACTTTGCCAAACCACAATACCAAGGTGGCTATGGCGGTTCCAGTGGCAGCAGTAGCTATGGCAGTGGCAGAAGATTTTAATGAGGCAACAAAGCTTAGCAGGAGAGGAGAGCCAGAGAAGTGACAGGGAAGCTACAGGTTACAAGAGATTTGTGAACTCAGCCAAACACAGTGATGGCAGGGCCTAGCTGCTACAAAGGAGACATGATTTAGACAAATACTCATGTGTATGGGCAAAAAACTCGAGGACTGTATTTGTGACTAATCGTATAACAGGTTATTTTAGTTTCTGTTCTGTGGAAAGTGTAAAGCTTTCCAACAAAGGGTTTTTTTTTTTTTTTTTTTTTTTTTTTTT